GTTCACAAAAGGCCTCCATAACCGTGACAGGACAGGATGAGGATTCCCCGACGGCCTCCATAGCCGTGACAGGACAAGCAGTGAGTTCGTAAACGGCCTCTATAGCCATGACAGCACAGACAAAGAGTTCCCAGATGAACTCCTTGGCCGGAACAGAACAGGCAGATCGTTCATTGACGGCCTCCTTGGCCGGAACGAGACAGACAGAGAGGTCAGAGATTGACGGCCTCCTTGGCCGGAACAAGACAGACAGAGAGTTCATAGGTGGCCTCCTTGGCCGGAACAGGACAAGCAGAGAGTTCATCGGCGGCCTCCTTGGCCGGAACAGAACCGGCAGAAAGTTCATAGACGGCCTCCTTGGCCGGAACAGAACAGGCAGAAAGTGTGTTGCTGGGCGCCACCACCACGCAAGGAACTGATGCAAGTGTCGCCATCTCGGGAGATTCTGCAGCCTGTCCCGCCACCTCCAAAGAAGCTACAGTAGACACCATGGCCTCTGGGAGCACAGCAGTGGACACCACTACCTCGGGAGGTTCTGCAGCGTAAGCCGCCACCTCTGGAGATGTTGTAGCCGGTGCTGCTGCCTCTAGCAAATCGGCGGTGGAGTACACGGCCCAGATACACCATAAAGCAACCCCCCATATGGGAAGTGCTGCAGACAGGGGAATGAGTTCATGAATAGAAGGGTTCGAGGGATACCAGCGGTGCGTGCAGACACCAGCGGTGCATCCCTCACACTGGATACCAGACTGGGATACCGAAGGGCTGACCCTGAGAATCTGGGTGTGACAGACAGGACGTGACATGACTCTGGATGATCAGCTGTGATGCAACGGGATTCTGGATGAATAACTGAGGCATGACGTGACTCTGGACGAAGAGTTGAGACGTGACGAGACTCTGGACAAACAGCTGAGACATGGCGAGACTCTAAGAGAAAGGTTGTAGAGTGGGTGTTATATAGTGAGTGAGGTGATTAGAAACAGCTGTGTGCAATGAGTGCAATCACTGCAGTGTGCAAATAGTGCAATGAATGATGGTATATGTAGTCCGGGGTGCTATGCAACAGTTTGTGTTGTGCGAGAGTCAATGTAATGGAAAGGGTGACCTCTGGTGGTGAATAAACGGAAGTCCATGGACCGAATTTGTGACACTGGCGTTGTCTCGTCCAGACTGCAAAAGTTGTGTGTATTCCAGCCTTTAAGTTTGTTTCAAAGCCCTTTAGAGCTCAACATATTCGGTGATGTTAATTTGCATTACTGTGTCTGAGTACAGAATCTTCAACATAAAGCATGGATTGTGCGTAAATATAATATGATTGGACCAGGTACATTGACCTAGAACACAAAATATCACATTACATTTGTTTGTTTATTCTTGTAAGTAGTCATTTAGCAAACAATTTTATCCAGAGGAGCATGTAGTATATCCGTTCTAGGGATAATTTTCCTGGGGCCAATCTGGTGTCATGTGGCTTTATCAAGGCCACAGTGGTGATAGTCCATATAATCTTCCAGATTATATTTATTTGCATAATTTCTTTGTGGACTTGCATTTAGGCATTATAAAGCAAAACAAAATGAGTGATTATTGCACTCATAACAACCAAATTTACCAGATTTGACTTGTTATCATGACTGACTTTGAATCCCCAAAAATAAATACACTCCCATGTTGTTTAGACTGTTTGTTGATCGTTTGCTGCCTGCCCTGACCTTATGCCTGTTTATGGATTATGCCTTGCCTTGCCTCTGTTGTTGTGCTTGCTGATGATTGACCCTGCCTGTATAACCATCTCACACATTTCCCCTCTGTTTTGTTTCAGATAAGCTGTCAGTGGTTATGGAGGCCATGCAGCCAAGACCAACTAGCATGCTTGTTGCCATATTTCTTTTTGTTGCAATATTGTCATGATCTCTGTTTTGATTTGTTGTTATGAATTCAGTTCTCTCTTTTTTTTTGTAATGTTCCAGAATAAAGCACAATAAATAAGTACGTAATGGATGTATTTAATAGTGACAGTGAATAAAAAATATACTGTTGTACATGGACTCAGGTCACTTATTTGGAATTTATTAAATTCAATGGGATTCATGTAAAATATTCAAAGGTTTTATAAAATAAATAGTGTAAAACAAATTACAGTAAAATTACTGTAATATTATTATACTGTAAAACTAAGTTGCAGTAAGGATATAGTACTGTAAAATTAAGTTGCGGTAAGGGTATTTTACTGTAAAATGAAATTGCGGTAAGGGCATTATACTGTAAAATGAACTTGCGATAAGCTACTGTAAAGGGGTAGTTACAGTAACTTACTGGCAATAGTGCTGCCAGTAAGTTACCGCAAAAATACAATAAAAAGTCTAACAGTGGAGATCTTAATAAGCCTGCAAGTGGATCCTCAACCCTGTTGTGTCATGCATCCCCGTGTTGTTGAAAACCTGTGAGATCATCTCAAAAGTGGACAGTTGGCAGGATGTTCATGCTACTCTTATCCATATACAATATAAGTAGATGTTGACCAGGAGCAGCCAAGCTCCAAAAATGAACCATAAAAGAAAATCATTCATGTGCATATATTACCCCTGAACTATTTTCCAAATCTTCTGAACTCATTACATCCACACAATACAAATGTGTGAAGAACAGACAAAAACAAATGTGATTTACCTCAAATATTCCCCTGCTGTCATATTTGAATGTCTACAAAAATGCAAATGACATTTGAGAGCTGTTTCTCACACAAAGCTACCATGTGGATTCAGAAGACGAATGTAACGTGAGTCGTATGGACTCATTTTGGTGCATTTAAAAGCACCTGGTCACCATTCACTTTCATTGTATGGGCGAAAGACGCATGAACATTCTGCTAAAGTTCTTCATAGAAGAATAAAGTCATTTAGGTTTGGAACAACATGAGGGTGAATAAATGATGGCAGAATTAAATTTTTGGGTGAGCTGCCTGTTTAATGTAACAGAAGTTTACAATCAAACACTGAAAAATACTTGCAGATTCCAGGCCCCCACTTTTCACAGACTCATTAATCCAGAGTTACTATGATCTTTTCCCTGTGATGATCAATGGATGTTTGGATTGCAATAGCTGACGACGAGAGACTGTCACGTGCGAAAAGACAAAACGCATGTGAAAAAAAGCATTCATTGTCATGAAACTGCCAGATAACACTACATATATTCAAAGCACTCGACATGTGACATTTACTGGAGGCACAACAAAACGAGTTAATTCAGTTTAGGCGATTTGCCTAACTAGTTGATGAGAAGTCCGAGTCGTTTCTGCGAATCGGTTCTTTTGAACAGTAGCCACGTTTCAAAGTATCGTTTCATTTCGATTATTAGCGACACATTTTATACATTAGGCATGTATACATCTATATGCCGGCGTGATATGCTCTGAAATGTTACAGTTTAATTTACTTAAGCTAAGTGTTTACTGTAATTAGTTGTAGGCAAGGCTATGTCAGCGATTGGACACAGTTAAACAAATCATTTAGAAACGAAATAGTATTTTTTTTATTTGTAACGTTTGTACTATTTAGCTATAAATGTAATCATTTTCTTAATAGCCTATCCTTCATTCCGGACTGCATTATTTTTTCGGGGCGGGTGTTGGCACAGTCAAACATCCGAATTTCAAAAGTAGGCTATATAGGCGATGTCCCAAAATTGCGAATTTGTAACCAGTCTACAATACCGTCTAAATAGTCGACTCGCTAGAATTTGAGCCACGGCCGTGCTGATGTCTGTAGACCTCCCACTTACTTAAAACGGTGGGGAGAGAGCGAGAGAGAGGGTGATTCCCAAATAAACCAACACGCAGCTTCACTCGCGTTGCTTTGAGGAGGTAATAAAGTATCATCGCAATTTGTTGTTACCAAAAAGAATGGCCCATAACAGCGGAGGAGGAGAAAAATGTGGTCAATAACATTTTAACCTGAGGGTTTTGACGAATGGTGGAGACAGGTAATGTGAAACCGATGGAAGGGGGGATTTATATGGACATTTATATGCGTTATACCGGACGTTTGTTTTAGCACAGAGCTGCCGTTCAATCTGCGCGCAACAGACTAACTCGACGCTGAGTTAAACGTTGACTGTATGAATTTATGAATGCTTTTAAAGGAGTATCGTATGTTGCTTTCTTGTGAATGAGTTTTAGCCCGTCTGTATTTGTGTGTGGCTGGCTAGCTGGATGAGCGCAAATAGACTGCTTTGCTTTAGGCCCCTAAACGCATAATCCATGTCGCTTCCTTCATATTTTCCTTTATATGTATTTTAGTCAGATTGTCTAACTCTGTTCTCCTTTGACACTCGGGTTTATATAGTCTAACGTGTCGAAATGTATCGGTAATGTTGTGTTTGTCTTGAGAGCTGCCCGCTGGTTTGTGTGTGAAGTAAAGAGGAGGGTAAACCGTTAGCCTTGCCTGCGCTCTCAGTCTGAGAAAAGCAAACATAGGTTGCAGTATCGGGACATCACAGTGCCATTATCACACAGCAGTCTGCATACTTTTAGACAGATAAACATGCTCAAAATGTGTGCGGCAGCAAGTCACTTGTGCTTTGAAGAACAGAATAGCCAGCTACAACAGGAGCGTCCACCATATGGATCTGGACTTTCGCGTCTCTCAGTTTTTAAAACGCCACGTTACATTAGACTAATGGAGTGATTTTTTTTTTTTTTTGAGATACACTGTCCACACACAGTGTAATAGACAGTTAGGCCAAAATGTTTTGATGTCACTCTTTTGGTAAAGTATCTAACCAAGTGGTATTTATACGTTTAATGCAGAGCATTTCACAAAAGTATTTAGGTTTTAAATTGTTAAAAATAGATGTACTCAACATAATGAAGATGAAATGTATTGCCACACTTTTTGGTTATCAGATATTAGTTGAACATGTTCGTACTTAATGTGTTGAATTTCACCTGTGGTTGCTTCACCGGTTACTCTGCTGGGACATTTCTTGAGGGGAAAGGCTTACATTTATTTGCATGCAGGGATTGAAATTAACTTTTTCACTCACCAGCCAATTTGGCTACAAAATTTTTAAGTTACCGGCCATTTATAACTTCTACTAGCCAAAAAAAAAGACAGAAATACACCAACAGTTTAAGGCCACTGGGCGTGACAAAGCGACTGTTGCAAATCATTTTGTTAGTACTAAGGGTGTGCGATATTGACAAAAAATAATATCTCCATATTTTCTGTGATTTTTATCGATAAAGATAATTAGACGATATTTTGCTGAGTGTGTTATTGTGCTGATATCTTAAGGACTACCGTGGACAGCTGACTCCTGAAGTTTTTGATATTCTTCATATTCTGTGTGGTCAGTTCACAGCAGTGATAGAAATTAAGCTTTTCCAATCAATTTAAATTGATTTTTAACTTTTATGGGCATTCTTACCTTTATGAAGCCATTTTTTTTCTAAAAGTGTACATCATCTTTTGAGTCAATTCTTACATTTAATCAGTCAATTATAATAATGCATTTAGGCTGTTACTAAACAAATTAAATCAATAAAATTAATCTGCAGAAGTTGCATATGAAGTGGCTTTTAGATGTATTTACAGATGTTAATGCAGCTTAGAGGGACAATGAATGCTTTAAACTGCAGTTACAAATGCATAAATAATGTTTTGATACTTAAAACATGAAATGTTGAATGCTGATATTTGAAATTATTTAAAAAAAATGAAAAGATACTTTAAATGTGGCAGCAAGTCACTGTTAAGTGAGTCATTGCGATTGAACCGAATCATTTACACGGGTTGAAACAAAACAAGGTCATGTTGCTCAGACGCGCAAAACAGTACTGTGGCTGTGTTTGGAATGTTTTTTTTTGTTGTTGGCGAAATGGCACAAAAATAGTGTAAAAACAGCCAATATGGTGTCTAAAACGTAAGTCTCTTGATATTAACTTATTGTTTATTGAACTGTTGTATAAAATAAATATCACATTTGTAACCATGCTGATTTTTTAAGAAAAAACGGCACTCTTCGTGTGATAGTGATTAACTATATGAATTGATATAAATATATACATTTTCTGCCTCCTTATGTTGAATTATGTGATCATTCTTAATTCATATTAATAGACTGAATCATGCAGTGAAAGAACCACTCTAAAAGCGCACACGCACTAAATCCTGTGTTGGTCTAACCAGACTTCATCACGTCGCGTGTGTTTTGTTTAGCTTTTGCAATATACTCGATAATGTCATGATGTCTCACGACAGAAATCTGCGCAGATTTTACCTGCATGAACTTCCCCAAGAAATTAATGAATGAACATAATTTACGAAAAGTAACCCACCAAATTGGCTAGTGATTTGACAGCGTTACCCGCCACAGCTGATTTTTTACCCGCATTTGGCGGGTTGGCGGGTGTTAATTTCAAACCCTGTTTGCATGCATTCTTTGTTGACTTTTAGGTTTTTAGCTTTCATACAGGAGAACTGTACGTTTTTCAATCATGTCATCAAACGAGTGGTTAGCAGAATGTTCGTGCTGCTCTTATGTGTAGTGTAAGTGGGTGATGACCAGTCAAGCTCCAAAAATGAACCATAAATAATGTGTCATGAAAGTAGCTCATACTACTTCTGCACTATTTTCCAAGTGTTCTGAAGTCATACCATAGTTTTGTGTGAAGAACAGTTATGAAGAAAGTTAATTACTGAAAATATCCCCCCTGCTGGCCTATTTGAATGTGTAAACGGATGTGAATGATGTTTGAGAACTGTTCCTTATACACAAAAGCTATTGTATGGCTTCAGATAACAAATATAACTTGAGTCGTATGGACTACTTTTATGATGCATTTAAAAGCACCAGGTCACCGTTCATTTTCACTGTATAGAAGAAAGCAGTGTGAATGTTGTGCTAAAAAATAATAAAAAGCACTTCCTGCATGTTTTTCCCCCAAATTGTATGCCTGTGACTGTAGGCGTATTAAAGATATCCTGTTATATCAGTTCTTAACAAAGGTTTCTTTTGTTATCTTAATTTTTAAGGCCCTATGTGGTTCATTTCCAGAGATACAGGGATTTTAATGTGGTTCCTTGAAGTTGTACAGAATTTCAGTGGTCCAAAACCAAATGTGGGTCACTTTGTTTGCGTACACATTTCCTTAAAGTCTGAAAAACAAATAATGTTGAAATGTATCTTGTTTCCCTCTATCAAAACAGTTGCACAGAACATACGCCTTAGTGCCAAAAGTATTAGGGATATACCGATACTAAATTTCTCAGCCAATACTGATTATTTATAATGACGATAGTTTGGTTTAAGGAAAAATATCTTGCCCAACTAATGCTGTAAACTATACAGGGAATGCTCTCATTTAGTATATTAGTATAATATTAGGTTATAATGAACAACAGAGCCTAAGCCATTATATTTAACTACTGTTTCTTTTTAGATACAATAACACTTAAAACAGAAATGTTTGTATAGGACTGGCCCAGGGCAGTGCTACATATGGAAGTCCCTGCGGTAGACAAAAACCCGCCTGGGATGGCAGCGAACGACTGCCAGGGAAAGACACGAGCTTGCACCAGCTGGGGCGGAAGATAGGACAGCGGCTAGGCAGAGGTGTCCGCCACTGCTGTTCCATACAGTGGTACATTGGATAACACTGGGAAAGCGTACCCAGTTGGGAACGCTACGGAAGCCACATCCCGCGCATAGGAGGTACCATGTGGAATTACATATATGGACTGGCCCAGGGCAGTGCTACATATGGAAGTCCCTGCGGTAGACAAAAACCCGCCTGGGATGGCAGCGAACGACTGCCAGGGAAAGACACGAGCTTGCCATGAGGGGAGCCGTACCGTGGAAGAATACACATGTGGGATCACCCGAAGGGGGAATCACTACACACGGGCACCTAGCCCAACACAAGGGCTGACCTTGGGCATGCACACGAGTGCTGAGCGTGGCGTCTGGCGCTCCGCCACGCCTGACCGCCGAGGGTGCAGGGGGAACTCCACCAGGGTTCGCCATGGGGAACTGAACTGAGGAGCAAAAAAGCGCACGTATCCGGTCCGTAGAGGGGAATGGCGCAGCAAGCGTGATCGACACCGAGCAGGTCCGGTGTTACTGCCTACCTGAGGCGAGTACACGAGAGGACACAGGCTCTACACGGAGATTATAGAATCTCGCAAACGTGTTAGGCGTCGCCCAGCCGGCAGCTCTACAGATGTTTGCTATCGAGGTGCCCCGCGCCAATGCCCAAGAAGATGCCACTCCTCTCGTAGAGTGAGCTCTCACTCCGAGGGGGCAAGGTAACCGTTGGGCCTGGTAAGCTAAGACTATAGCCTCCACTAACCAGTGGGCAAGTCTTTGTTTGAAGACAGCCTTCCCCTTCTGCTGTCCTCCGAAGCAGACAAAGAGCTGGTCTGAGGTCCTGAAGCTCTGCGTACGGTCCACGTAAATGAGCAGAGCGCGAACGGGACAGAGCAGAGCGATGGCTGGGTCTGCCTCCTCCCGGGGCAGCGCTTGCAAGTTCACCACCTGATCCCTGAAAGGCGTGGTGGGAACTTTGGGCACATATCCGGGCCGGGGTCTCAGGACAACGTGAGAGTTACCCGTTCCGAATTCTAGGCACGAATCGTCGACCGAGAATGCCTGCAGGTCCCCTACCCTCTTGACCGAGGCCAAAGCGGTGAGGAGCGCTGTCTTTAATGACAGAACCTTAAGCTCTACTGACTGCAGAGGCTCGAAGGGCTCCTCCTTCAGGGCCATGAGGACCGAGGGGAGGTCCCAAGAGGGTAACAGGTGAGGGCGCGGAGGATTCTGCCTCCTTGCCCCTCTGAGAAACCTGATGACCAAGTCGTGCTTCCCCAAAGACTTACCGTCTACTGCCTCGTGATGTGCGGCAATGGCGGCAACCTACACTTTCAGGGTGGAGGGAGACAGCCTTCGCTCCAAGCCATCCTGCAGGAAAGAAAGCACGACTTCGATCGGGCATCTACGGGGGTCTTCCCGTCGGGGCTTCCACTTCAGCCTGTAAGCGTGTCTAGTAGACGGGACTCTGGCTGAAGTGATGGTGTTTACTACCGCTGGAGATAGCCCACCTAGAATCTCCGCGTCCCTTCCAGGGACCACAAGTGGAGATTCCACAAGTCTGGACGCGGGTGCCAGAGGGTGCCCCCTCTCTGAGAAAGGAGATCCCTCCTCAGAGGAATTTGCCAAGGAGGGGCTGTCGCGAGGAGCATCAGTTCGGGGAACCAAGTCCGACTGGGCCAGTATGGCGCTACCAAGAGGACCTGCTCCTCGTCCTCCCTGACCTTGCACAGTGTCTGTGCGAGAAGGCTCACTGGAGGAAACGCATATTTGCGTAGGCCCCAAGGCCAGCTGCACGCCAGTGCGTCCATGCCGAGGGTTCCCTCGGCCAGGGAGTAAAACAACTGGCAATGGGACGTGTCCGGGGAGGCAAACAGGTCTACCTGAGTTTGGGCTGACGTGAGAGCTCGTCGGCTGCACGATTGAGCTCACCTGGGATGTGAACGGTGCGAAGCGACCTCAGATGCTTCTGACTCCAGAGGAGGAGATGGTGGGCGAATTGTGACATGCGACGGGAGCGTAGACTGCCCTGGTGGTTGATGTACGCAATGGTCGCAGTGTTGTCCATACGGACCAGTACATGCTTGTCGTGCAGCAGTGATTTGGAGCGGCGCAGAGCTAGCCCTACTGCTTGCAACTCGAGGCAGTTGATATGCCACTGCAGTCGGGGCCCCGACCAGAGCCCCGCAGCTGCATTCCCATTGCACATGGCACCCCAGCCCCTGCAGAGGCATCTGTTGACACAACAACATGCCTGGATACTTGCCCAAGGGACACCCCTGTCCGAAGAAAGGCAAGATCTGCCCACGGGCTGAAGGTATGATCATTGGCTTGTTTAGTTTACACTCGAAGGTGATTGGGCTCTCGGGCGAGATCCCAATTCGTCAGTCACAACTGACCTAACGTAGAACGTGACTGACTGAAAGGGAACAAGGTACATTTCAAGGCTAACATTTTTTGTTTTTCAGACTTTCCACTTTAAATACAGCAAGTATCAGCTGTATGCAAAGTGACCAAAAATTGTTGTTGTTGTTTTTTTTTGTCCACTGAAAATGGATAATATTCAACAATTTTGACATGGAGTCACATTGGGATTTCCATATATCTGAGACTAAATATAGAGCCTTAAAATGAAGATTCCAAAAGAAAAGCTTATTAAGAACCAGAATATAAAATCATATGGAGATATCTTTAATAAGCTACTTCTTGAGTGACAGGCATGCAGACTTTGGGTTGAAAAAAAAAATTCAGGTATGTTCTATGCCATTTTTTGATAAGGAGGAAATATTTATTGTTTCAGTATTCTTTTTTATAATTATTTTTTTTATTTGTCTTTTTAAAACAAAAAAAGTATCAGCTGTATGTACGTTTGATTTTTGACCACTGAAAATGTTCAGTTTAAAAATTTACTCCTGGAACCATATATTGAGATCCCACAAGTTTTGAACTGTCACCACTGGCGTATAATGTAACAAAGATTGCTAAAGTCAATAGATTTTACTAATAGACCTATTGTACTAGTCTCCATGTACAAAGTAACATGATGATACTGGCATATTTCTAAGGTAATTTTAATCCTTGCATTTTGGCTCCAGAGCTCAGTGTGAAAATTGTCATTACTTTTACTAAATTTTGTTTTGACATGCCAAAACGTATTGTTTCGTTGTGTTTGTCTTGAGAGCTGGTTTGTGTATGAAGTAAAAGGGACAGTTCTCAAATGTTAGTGGAACATGTTCATTAGGATCCTATGATTTCCACGATGCAGAAAACACAGACAGAACCGCTGAATCCAGCCATAAAAATGGAATTTGCGAACATCACAGAATTTGGCAAAATTTGGATGAATAATTTAAAAAGTAGGCCTAGCACTTTACAATGAATTAAATCTCAATATGGATGAGCTAGTGTCTGTGAATATTAAACTGTATAAAGACTGTGATTGAAATATGAAGTCTGCGTGTTTTGTGTGTCTCTGTGTGAATGAGTTCACTTGACGAGCATTTCATCATGTTCTATGATAAAACTATCATAAGATATACACAGAAACTCAAGGCTCTTCACTATAGCCTGTCAAATTAAAAGTAATGATAACATTAATGATATACAGTGCAATACAGTTCTGAAAGAAATAATGCACATCATAGGCCACAATTATTAACTCTTAACTTTTATAAAGAATATCTCTTTGGTTTTGAGACTTTAGTCTTTGCAACTTTATAGATCTTCTTTATGCACCAAGAGCTTGTAACACTCCAAAGAGAAAGGAAAAATTGAAATTGCATCATATGACCCCTTTATTGTGATGAAGTGTACATGTTGTTAATGTACTGAGACGCCCTTGTGAACTCGAGCGGAACAGACTTTAATCATACATTAAACATCAGTTAGTTTACCCAAAGTGAGATTGTTCCCTTTTGGGATGTTTACTTATGTTGTTGGTGGGTTTGTGATACAGTTTGCAGTAAGAACACATTTAATTGATTATTATTTATGATGTGCACGGTTTGTTATCCTGTTACACCTGTTGCTGCTATAATAAAAAAAAAAAAAAAAAAAAAAAAAAAAAAAAAAAAAAGTAGCTCTGCTCTTGAATGTGGTTGTTTTTGATGGTGGGTCAGTTTACTTTCTCTTATTTACTTATTTGTTTTCTTTGTAGTCTCTATTTCTAAATATTACAAGCTTTTTCCTTTTAACACAAAGTAGTAAATGTTCTTTTAGACTTGTGTGTTGTACTTTCCATGTCAGCAAATATATTTTTTTTTATTCAGTTTTCTTGTTACATAGCTTCCAAATGCATTATGCTATGATCACTGCGATCAAAAGTCAGTCAATTTTTGATTTTGAAAGAAGTCTCTTATGGTCACTAAGGCCGCAATTATTTGTTAGGAAATACAATAAAAAGATAATATTGTGAAATATTATTAAAGTTTAAAATAACTAACTGTACGGTTTATAAATGTCATTTTAAAATATATATTTTTTGTAACAATATAAAGTTTTTTACTGCCTTTTTAAAATTAATATAATGTATTTTTTGCTGAATGAAAGTATCAGTTTCTTTAAAAAAAAAAAAGAAACTATGATCATCATTATATTATCTGTAAGAAACGGTATCAATACTATAAAAAAACAGTAGCATAATAACACTAGTACACAGATCTGTAGAACAAGTAGTATTTTACCTTTCACAAAGTCATGCCAAAACATTCATAAGAGCACTAGACAAAAATCATATAGCAATGCTTACTAATTAATACTATTACAGTATTGTTGCATGAATAATAAAATGATCGACCCCTAACCTATAGTAAAGTATTAACACATTTTGAAGCAGTAAATAAGGTCTAATTTAACAAGACCCATCCCAAAACAGAGAAAACCTTTCACAAACATCTACATCTGCAAGTTTATATGTAGTTTATATGATGGGTTCCATTTAGGTGTTATCATAACACAATTCTTAACACCACCCCAGACCCTATTAAATTTCGAACCCTTTTTACAGCCATGCTTGCTCACCCTTAACAAAATGTGATGCAACACAACACTGCATGAACATGCAGAAACGCATGCTTGGACCACCCAGGGCTGCCAACAATACTGAGACTCAAACGTTTAGGACTGTTCGCACGCTCACTCCACACGTCCATTTTCTCACGCATTAACAGTGACCAGTGACTTTTGTATGTATGATTTCTTGTTTTTTTTACATTCAGTTAAGTAATATCAGAGAAAGAGGAGAGCTGTTTTCACAAATATCAGATTGTAAATGTGAAATTGATTTCGTACAGTTTAGAAACAAGAAGTTAATATTAAGTGACTTACATTTCAGACACATTATTGCCTGTTTTTGCTCTATATCATAAAACGAAAATAGATCCAAATGAATCTACAGCAGAAGCATTGCACATTTCTGAGTAACGGAGAGCTGGGCTCATCACTCTTCACCCTTTGGATTGTACTTTGTAACTTTGCAGATCCTTCTCGTGCTCAAACAGCAACAGTACTCACTAAAGGAAGTTGAGAATGTAAAAAGCATAATAGGATCCCTTTAACAACGAGAGTCTGTCTGCTTCATTGCATGCTGTGAATGTGTGATTCAGCTTCCCTGGATTTTTCTGTCCTGTTCCTAGGTGATATAAAAACACGGTACCATGTGAATGGTTGAGGAACATGAAGCCTGCACACAAACTACTGTTCGTCCTGTGTCCCATGCTGGTCTTGGGGTTCATCTACTACTCTTCTGGGAAGCTCCATTTGCACGTATGGGGCCAGAAGCCACGTGAGTATTGCCTCCCATTGCCATCTGTCTGTTAATGTGCGTCAGGTTGTGACCTCTCCGTACGTGGGTGCCTTTTGGTCTGTCAATATGTATGTTTGCCACAGTTTGTTTGTTAGACCCTCTGTCAGTTAAATTATTAATCTTAACAGTTTGCTTGCATGCTTGTCTTGCAACAGGTTGTTTAGGTCAGATGAGTCCTGTGTAGGTTTACAAGTTTTGCATTACTGTTTTCAAAGAGTTCATGTTTTTTTTTTCTCTCAAAGTGGATAATTCAACTTTTATTTGGCAATAGGGCAATAATTTGGAAAACTGCTAATGACAAGATTTTCAAATATCCTCCTTTTCAAGTCCGTGTAAATGGTCTGGAGGCGTGGTAGGGATTTGTGTGGATAAATATTTGTTGTTCAAATTTTTGTGCAGGTATTAGTTTGTGGACTTTAGTAGCTGGTCTGCGGAACCACACACGTTTTATTGAGGGATAATCGACTGAAGTTTATTCTGGCTTCAGCTCACTGTGCTTCTCTTTGAGATTGTTTAGGTGGGAGATCTTATAATGGTTGACTTATTTATTGGCAGGAGAACAGATGTGTATTTTCATTTGCATGTCAGTTTGGAGTGTCCTTCAGTAGAGTCGCTTTATTCCACACTCCTTTGACCACACAACAGAGGGTTGTCTTGTGTACAACAGTAGCCCTACTTTACCAAACACAGTTCCATTGTTTGGAAATGGCTGCAGACACAGTCATTGAGAATGCTGCATCTACGCTGATATCACCAGCCTTACATGTAAGCAGCACATGGGTAACTGACAAGACAAAGACGATAAGTAAGTTATGTAAAAACTATGACACTGTCTCAGCAATGTCAACTTTTACATGTAGGAAATATTCTCAAACCATTCTTAAAGATATTTATCTCATATCAGATGGCATGCCAGTGTTTCCTGCACCAACAAACAACACCGCATGAACTGTTATTGTGTGGAAAAATTGCTCTTGTGTACAAGTTATTTTTAGTGAGTCAGTCAAAAATATTCAGTCAGTGGTATCAGACTCACACAGATATTAAACACCAAACAAATAAACACCATTTTCTGTCATATTGTGTCATTTAATATCAAATCAAGAAATTTCAAATTGTGAACCTGATATTATATATGAAAACAAATCATGAAAGAGACATATTGTCCCTCCCCTACTGATTTGGCTAAATACATTATCCATTACTATTAATTATTTATTTTTTTAAGTTAAAAATCTTTTGCACCAACTTTAAACAGTGTAATATCACTGTGAATTAGCATGAGAAAAATTTAGAAGTAAGTTAATAACTGGGTAAATTGTTCCTCTTGAACTTTGATCTCAGAAGTACTTTTAAAAAAAATAATAAAAATTTTTTCAAAATAATGTGTGTGTATTTAAACGCAGCTAACACTAATACATGACATAGGGCAAATGCTCTTTTAAATTATTTGTATTATTATATAATATAAATCTTCTTTTGCTTTTTTTTTTGCATGTTTTAGACTTTACACTAACGTTCAGTCTGAGAAAAAATGAGTAAAAAAAAATAGTAAATGTTGTAGGTGTTGTATCAGATGGAGACAAGGGACCATTTAAAAACAATTGTGTTTGGATGTAAGACCGAAAGGGATAGTAAAAAAAAAAAAAAAATTTTTTTCAAAATAATGTGTGTGTATTTAAACGCAGCTAACACTAATACATGACATAGGGCAAATGCTCTTTTAAATTATTTGTATTATTATATAATATAAATCTTCTTTTGCTTTTTTTTTTTGCATGTTTTAGACTTTACACTAACGTTCAGTCTGAGAAAAAATGAGTAAAAAAAATATAGTAAATGTTGTAGGTGTTGTATCAGATGGAGACAAGGGACCATTTAAAAACAATTGTGTTTGGATGTAAGACCGAAAGGGATAGTTCACCCAAAAAAGAAAATTCTGGGCCCTATTTTAACGATATAAGCACATGTTCTAAAGCACATGGCGCAATTGCGCTTGGGTGTGTCCGAATCCACTTTTGCTAGTTTAAGGACGGGAAAAATTGGTGTGTTTTGGGCGTAACGTGCCATAAACCAATCAGAGTCTCATCTCCCATTCCCTATAAAAGCCAGTTGCGCTCGCGCCATGGCGGATTCGCTATTTACATGGCAGAATTTGCAAGCGGAAAAACGGAGCGCTTCTCTAGTGAGGGAATGGATCTGCTCGTGCGCGTATATTGTGCACCCGCCTATAGGCGCATATTACTAATGCGCTCTTTAAGTAAAAAATAAATAAATATTGTGCCAGACTTTTGACCAGGTTTTTGTTGGTCAATGGCGCAGTCTATTTCAGTTGCCTCAAAATAGCAATGCGCCTGAACACACATCGTTTTCAGCTAATAGGCGCAAATGCATTTGCTATTTAAACAACGTGGCGCAGGACGTGAAAATGACAACTGCGTCGGGCTGAAACTAGCAAAAAACGCCTGGCGCCTCATTGCGCCGGGTGAATGATAGGACCCTCTATCAGTAATTACATGTCCTCATGTCATTCCAAACCAGTAAGACCTCCGTTCATTATGCGAACACAAATTAAGATATTTTTGATGAAATCCGAGAGCTTTCTGATCCTCCATTGACAGCAAGGGTCCTACCACGTTCAAGGTCCAGAAAGGTACCAAAGACATTGACAAAATAGTCTGTGACATCAATGGTTCATCCGTAATTTTACGAAGCTATATGAGAATACTTTTAGTGCGCAAAAAGACAAAATAATGACTTTATTAAATTCTTCTCCATGTCACCCTAGCGCCATAATGGAGAGTACCACCACGCAAAGTTTGTGCAGAATCTTTAAATAGTCTCGCATAGGGGTGCTCCGATTGGTCGGCTACCGATCACTATCGGCCGATAATCGGGTTGGGATGATTGATCGGTGGTCTCTAAAAAGGCAGATCTCAAAAAACCGATCTCAAGCTGATGACGCTGCCGTGAGAGGTTTGGCGTGACATGCAGCATCACCGTCTCAGTCTCTATCAGGCGCGGGTAAAATAATAATAATATTTCTTCATTAAATAACTTATAAAGTCATTTGAAAACCTTGTGTGAGACGTAATTTCACAAACAGCATGAGTGAATCACCGCGCGCACTCGCTCTTTTTCTCTCAAAATACGCAAATGGCTTCAAATGACCACACATTGCATCTGTCTATAAGCGAGCTGCACAGTTGACACAGGAATTGTCACTTGCACAATCGAGGCAGTCACATCATCACTAAAGTTTATAAATTGCATTACATTTTAATTCTTGCCCGTGTTTAACCATTCAGCGCCCGCGCGCTCTCCTGGTGCACACTCGCAGCGCACACACATAATGCCAGGTTCACATAACTCCGTTTGCAGTGCGTATGTGGTGTATATTTTTTCCGCGCTCATGTTAACGGATTAATAAAGTGTGCACACTGCAGACGTTTGCGGTCAAGAGATAGTTTCCGCACAGTCTAATTTTGCTGCGCTGAATTAAAGTAACAGCGCATTGTTTGCAGTAAATATGAACATGGATTGACACGAAAATTTTGTAATTACACCATAAATGCATATTATTAAAGTCTACTCTGTTTCACAATCAACACATATGTCTTTTTGGCTAGGTTTAAAGGAAAAGAGCACTTTTAGATCAACAAGGCAATAATAGATGCCACTCGTGGAGGTAGAAAAAGGTAGGAAAGTTCTTTATGAACTGCAGGATTGCTTGTAATAAAGATTGCAATGCAAAAGAAAAAGCAGTAGAGCTGACTATTTCTGTCAGTGGTAAGTTTGTGATAACGTAAGAAAAGCAGTTTATATGTTTTGACACTTGCTTGAGCAACTTAATATATAAATCTAGAAGTAAATGCAAAAGTAAAAAGCATTGAATAATGTGTTGTTTATATTTATGTGTGTGTTTAAACAGTACTGTGTATTACTGTACTGTGTAAAAAAAAAAAAAAAAAAAGAATTGCAATGCTGAAAAAGCATTTTCAGTGACAAATTTTAAAATTTGAAATCAAAATAATGGATAAATGTTGTGCTTGTGGTAAACAGCCACGGATCAGTAGCGGGCTCCTGTGTGAAAGCACAGTCCTTGCTGCTTCTCCTCTCACAAGAGTCACCTAGAGGGGAATTCCCCCCATTTTCTAATTAAATTCAGGCCCTGAATAAATGTCTAAAAATCCTGATTGGAGTATCACTATAAATAGTTATAAATGATAAAAAGGACGCTTTAAAAAGATTGGTATCGGTGATCGGATCGGCAGATTCTGCTTTCTGTGATCGGTGATCGGCCTCAAAAACCCTAATCGGAGCACACCTAGTCTCGCATTCATTGCTGATCAAAGTTTTAGATGCTTTCAGATTATCTCTCCATAACTTTCTGAATCAAATCCAATTGTGAAGTGTGTGAATTTTGATACTTGTATTGGGTATTTTACAAATCCTGGTACAGAGTTTATCCTGGTTATTGAGGGAATGAATCAAGCATGTGGAAGAAACAAGCATTTTTATTAGCAGTTGTCCAGCAGGGTGTTGTTTTATTAGATCTATAATCTCAGAAATATCTTTTAGATGTAAGGATTGGGCCATATGAAGTTTTTATATTTAAGGACTAGATGGACAAGATCAGGGTGAGAGCCCCATCCTGCAGAGTTTTGCTCCAACCCTAATCAAGCACACCTAAACAAGCTGATCAAGGTCTAAAGGGTTACTAGAAAGCTAAAGGCAGGTGAGGTTTTATCAGGGTTGTAGCTGAAGTCTGCAGAACTGTGGCTCTCTAGGACCGGAGTTTGCCACCCCTGGGGCCGATTGCATAAACTGCTTAGACTAGTCTTAAAAAGTTAGTCATCTAATTTGTTTTCATCTAGACTAGTCATAACTGTTTAAAGTTGGTTACGAAAATGTAGATTGGCCCAATTTTAATCAGAAAAGTAAAACTGTTTACCTCTTGGCTAACTAGTTGGTCAAACTAGTTCTTAAGACACAGTCTTAACATCATGTCTATGTTTATGCAGCTGCCCTGGACTAGATGAGGCTTTACATGAGACAAGTATGCCTTATGAAATGAGTTTCAAGAGTGAATTCAATTCTGTTATCTAGAAAATCCTTTATTGTGCCAAATGATTGTTTTGGCTTCTCAGATAATCTGAAGAGGAGGACATGTTGCTGTGTCTGAAAAAGTAATAAAATGTGATGAAGTGTGTACTGCATGTTGTGTTATTAATTTGAAGATATACATTTTAATCCCTCGTTTGTCGTCACATTTATACTACTTGTAGGCATATTTTATTTTTATGTTTTGTTTTAGCATTTTTGTATTTTGGAAATAAGTAGTGCCAAGTTCTATTTACCTTTATAGACATCAAGAGTAGAGACGTACTGTGGGACATAGACACAGACTTCGTACTTGTCTAATGAAAGTTTGCCGAGATATTAATGTTAAAAGGCTAGTCTTTTTATGTTCTTCCATTACAGTGCTCTCTTATATATTAGGTGGATCCCAAAACAAGATACTTACACTAACTTCACTGCAACCTTTTTTAGCCAGTAGAGGGAGGGAGAGCACTACAGTTCAGTGTCAGATTCACAGTGGGCACTGGAGACCACACAACGAGCATGTCCACATGGGTGAACATTTGTCTCACTTCTCAAAGGAAGCTAAATTTTTCTTTCAGTCCTAAAAAGACAAAAGTCATCAATGAGCAGTTTTTCTTCTAAAAACCTTGTTTAGCAACACTGCTATTAATAACATTTAGAAATACAACACTAAGATGATAACCATCACTGTAAGTTTAAGAATAGTATAATGCATGATCGTTAGATTGCAGGTTCTGCAATTAGATATTCAATATTATTAAACATTGCAACAGTGCCCAACCACTTTTTCAGCGACCTTCATTCTGCAAGTAATTTTCCAACAAGGATTGAAAAAAAAAATGTCTTTAAGAGTTATAAGCCATGAATCAAACCAACCAACTACGAAATGAATGACCACCTTACTATCTATGACATTTACATGTACTTCATATTATGTGTAATAATATTTAAGCAGTTTGAGAGTGCAAGAAGACAAATCTATAAAATTTGTGAAGATCAAAGTGAGATAACCAATTTTTTTCCACTAAAACATTTTTTTTTTTAATTGAATTATTCTCATTATTATTTATTCTTAGTTTATTCATTTTGCCATGGTGAATTTAAGTGTAGGCTACCAGCTGCTTCACTACCAATTTGAAAGTTTCATGCAACTGCCACTAGGGGGCAAAATGAGACAATCATACAGAAGAGATAGTGGAAAAGTGCCTTCAGTCCACACTCAGCACAGCAGGAGGATGTTTATCATGTACAACACTAACACTAAAGTACTTTAGCATACTGTTGGAAAACGGGTCGGTCCTGGTGCAGACAAGTCAGAACGGTCCCTATGTTCCTAATATGCAAAGGGGCCCGAAATGTGTGAATACTGGAAATATGATTGATGTTCTACTTGATAAGACCGAAGAACATGTTTTCATTCCTTGTGGAAAGGAGTCTGACCAATGATGAAGCAAATAACTATTTGGTTGCTGCAATTATTTTGAAGTTTTATTGATTAATGATTTCTTATTGGCCCTCAGAAACACAGCTGAGGAAATGGATTTGGCAGGCTTCTTCATTTATTCCCCCTCCCCATGTACAGTCTCTGAGATTATTTAGTGTTCACCAGGCGAGTTATTCTCAGTTTGTTCAATTCATGTTTGCCTTCGCTGACTTCGGTATCTTGAACCTCTGTGGAAAAAGTTAGATTAATTATAAACGGCACATTTCGACAGCTGCGCGCACCCAGTTTATTTTGGAAAATTGTGAACCTGGGATGGGTTTCTTTGAACCTAACCCGTTATGAAAGGCACCTTAGGACACATTGTGAAGACAAATCACAATAAATGGCTCTGAAAAGGGTATGAGGGAAGGAAACGCAACCCTATTTTGATGATAAATGGCTAAGAGTGGGCAAGAACCCAGCACTCTGTTGGTTTGATTGCTGTAGAGTCGCCTAAACGCATAACTGCCATGCATAGCAGTATGATAACGTTTGTAAATTTAGAAAATGTATTAAAAATAAGATCCCATGACACTGCTTATAAAGCTCCACTAGTGTAAATAAATTGGGCTTTATTTAGAAAGACGTATGCCACAAGGTCTCACAGCTCACATAGTGAGTTTGACTTCAGTTACTGTATTCAGTGAAGCTGTTTTCAGAATGTTCAATAGTTCTACTTATTTGTCAGATTTTGTAAACAAATACTATATTAAAGATTTTGCTACAAACCGTTATGTGAAACTTACTGTAGCTTGTGATTTTTCTGCTATCTGGCCTTCTAATTGAAATCAAGCTCAATCTTTGCTTTGAGCTGTATATGCAAGTTGTAGTGATACAAAAATAGTGTAAAATTTGCTAATAATTAGGCAGATGATTGGTCCATGTTAATGAATATTGTGAGATGACATGCTGCTTTGGCGCAATGGAGTTGCTCTCATCATTGTCAAAGACTTGCTCTCATCATTGTCAAAGTTGGCATTACAAATTACTGAAAACATGTCTGTAATTCTGTTTTGTGCATTTTGGAAAAACGTCCTGTGGCATGAAAACTGAAAACTTCCTGAAAGCACTATATGCTGATGTGTGTTTCTGGTTTGCACATGTTGAAAAAGTTTACCCTCGTTATCATGCTGTTTGACTTTCATATACAGTATTTTAGCAGGTCTGCTAATTTATAACTCTTTTGTTTCACAGATAAAGATGTGGAGCCCACAGTAAAAGTCAGTAAAGTCACTAGTGTTTCTGTCAAAACCACTAAGACCAAAGGTAGAAACTCTCCAACGCTTCTTCCTTTGTGACAATTATTGGAGACTGGTGAAATAATCAATGGGCTCGCCGGTGGGCACTAACATCCTTAACGCTCAATCCATCTGGGCTTTTTTTTTTTTTTTGGATAATCAATTTTACTGCACAGGTGCACCTGTGGTATCATCTGGAAATTACGGTGATGGGCGTCCTAATATTTCTTCAACCTCATGTAATTCCTTGAACTAATGCAGCTTTCTAGTTCATACTGTTTGAATAGGTTGGGCTTTGAGGGTTTGGCCTGAGAGTCATTCAGCGTGACCTTGAAGTTTCCAAAAAATTGTCAAGCACAGAACCACCGGCCTAACTGATGGTCTTGTGTTTCAGAGCCGGTGGTGGAGGGCCCTGTCTCCGTGGGACGAATAGTAGGCTCAGGTACAGCCTCACTGAAAAGAGTGCACTCTGGTCAACATGAGAACCCCAGCAGGCCTGGTAGTCCTGAGATAATGTCCTTCAATACATTACACACGAAAGACCCTTTCACACCAAATGCAACACAAAAAATGAAAAGAAAAAAAAAACAAACCAATGAAGTCTTATTACACTGACAGTGCAGCAAATATTTGTCAAGAGAATAAAGCGAGTTTGTGCCAGAACAACAGGTGGAGCTAAATGACAGCGAAGGTCACACTGACCAGAATGGTGCCCCGCTGTATGCCTGACAAGTTTCTAGTTATTGTTTCTAGGCACGATAACTGCAGTGTTTTGTTTGTTTTACACACACACAAGCAACTGCATAAATGCAGCCTTAGTGGGCATAAGGGACTTCTTGGAAAAACAAAAACAAAAAAACCTTACCATCCTCTTTGTGCCAGAACAACAGGTGGAGCTAAATGACAGCGAAGGTCACACTGACCAGAATGGTGCCCCGCTGTATGCCTGACAAGTTTCTAGTTATTGTTTCTAGGCAATACGATAACTGCAGTGTTTTGTTTGTTTTACACACACACAAGCAACTGCATAAATGCAGCCTTAGTGGGCATAAGGGACTTCTTGGAAAAACAAAAACAAAAAAACTTTTAAATGGTAGTGCATATGCAATCAATATTACTCCGATCTTTTTGGTCAGTGTGCTTTCATCACCAGGTGAAACAAAAAATGTTCAACACACAACACAAAATTGATAGCAAAAGTTGTGAACAGCTGCATAAGAATCAATTGTTTCTATTCAAAATTTTGTATGTCACACTTGGTGTGAAAAGGTACATGGGTCATTTTTAGGAAATGTTTTTCCCCGTCTTATTTGAAAAGGTTACTACTGAACTTTCAAAAAATCACATTTGCAGGCCCAAAGCATCGGGGCCATAACTACCATAGACAGTGAATTCCATTTATTTACCATCAGTATTTCTGTGCTTTTTACCAACATTTTTTTTTTTCCATAACTGAGTTGAATTTGAACAGTGTAAGTATAAACAATGAAATGGTGATAAAGTCTCCAAGAGAAACTTATTTTTAAAAAAATTTATGAGACAACACAGATCATTTCAAATGTATTTTTTCGAGACAAAATTGTGACTGCAGGGTAAAACGGACAGAAAAATAATTTTTCAAATATTACAATGTATTTTTTAATTTAATTTTAAGTAAATCCATTAAAATCTAACAGTGATTAATAGGGACAAATTGCCTCATGTTCCTATGAAAAATAAATATTTTATTTTAGTAAGTATATACAGTCATGGAGACAAATCCAGTACCAGTAACCACATCTTAGCCTTCAGAACTCAGAATGAATGTCTTTATGCCTAGGGCATAATGTGTTGCTTATAAATGTAAAATGAGTTTTCACCTTTCATTTTACAAAGACTTGTACATCATATAAATCACAGTGATTTGCAGGCTGTCAATGTCATAACCATATTAGACCTACCAGACCTCAAAAAGACATTGGGCCTCATTCATGAAATTGTAGTAAATATAGGAGTAAATTTGAAGTATTTTGCACGTAAAATGGGAAAACCTAAAAACTCTCGTCCTGATTCACAAACACATTGTATACCTCAGATTAGTTAAACATGTGTACACTACTATTATTATTATATCTATTTTTGTTTATCAGTGATTTTTTTTTTTTGCATATAACTAATTAACTAATTAATTTTACTTAATTAAATTCCTAAATGCAGTTTTGGGAGGTGTGAAACCATTTGTTTCAATTAGCTGCTCTGACATCAGCTGTTTTAACTCTACCAACATAATTTAAGTATCTTGCCATTCATATTTATTTCCCAAGCACTAGTAAACCCTGGGGGTTTATTTGAGCTCGAGATGAAGTCACTTCCTCCACTGCAGATAGCAAGCCAAATTTAACCAAAGTTTAACCTTAATATCTTAACAGATAAACTATCGGTATATGGCAACTTAATTTGTGAAATATTATTACATATAGTTTTATCAAAATGCAGTGTCATCAGTTTGCCCATAAAAAGAAAGTTTCGTGGTTTACGCACCATTTCTATGTGGTTGGGAGCAAGTGTACATTTTTTTGTGTTTGTACCAACTAACATTTTGAAAATATACTTTCATGAATCTGAAAATTTCAGCTTGTTGAATGAGTTAAAAAATAATAATTCTGCTTGTGTTTAATGAATGAGGCCCATTGTGAGTACTTGGTGTTTTCCCCCCTGCAAAATTCCACTTTACATCCCTGTGAAACTGTAAACGAAGACTTGGGTCACCATCTGAAAGGGTTTAGGTCTGACCTCAGCAGGTATCTAATAAGAGTTTGCTTGCTGGTGGTTGGTTACTGAGATTCTACTTCTCTACTGCTTCAGTGCCCCTCAGCAAGACAAACTTGGAGGGTCTGTCATAGCGAATGGCCAACTGCAAGATGCTGTGAATAATAGCATATGCTAAACGTTCCTTTTGGTTTCAGCAGTGGTCACTTTCTAACCAGTTCCTCCTCTCCATTCTGCAGCATCTGTTTGGAGACTTGAGCATCAGTGGAGTTCTCGAACTCTCCCTTTCCATGCCTTATGATAAGCAATGCTGATGCTAATGAGAATGTACCAGCTGAATTAATGTCATGTTTTGATTCACATTTACCTGTTCATCAGTCCTTTTACTGAGCCCATTATTTCTGCTTGGTAAATTGTTGATCTTTTGTTAAATGTCTGTTTGTTTTTAGCTGCACTGCTCTGGCTATCACCGTAAGCATGCTTAAAGTCAAACCTGTTGAAGAAATTAAGTAGGCATACTTAAGTATGCATAGCAATCTGTTTTGGTTTTTAAAGCTTTTTCTTTTTTCCCCCCACTCACACTTTAGTTTTTTCTCTTCTTTTTTTTTTTAAAGGCTTAGCTACATTGACACCTAGACACCTATGGTCTAATGAAGCCTGCATAGGTGGACAACTGCTTTTTCACACATTTTCCCCAGCTGAACTCTGGAATGTTTTGGCAGCTTTGATCTAATATCGCTGCAGCTTTTTCATACACTAAAATCCTTTAGATGCTGACATAACTATGAGATCTGTATGAATGTTAACGTACCATTAACATCTTTAGTTGTCTCAAAATGCACTAGATGTGCATTTTGACAGGAGGAAGGCATAACGAGAGGATCTACTTTTTTTTTTTGACTGATATTATGAGTTAATGCTAATTGTCATATTTCTCTTTGCAGTGTTTGATAATCAAGGGTTCTTGCTGAATCTGGACACAAGGCTGTAAGTATTCTGTATTATACAATTAATTCCTTATACATTTCACCAACAGATAGAAAACTTACTTAAACTGTTTCAAAAGTTGTTTTTTAAATGAATTATTTAATCAATTTATAAAAATTGTATTTATTAAAATATTTATAAATGTATTCATGATTTAACCATTTATTTTTCACCACATTACTTATGTTCTAGTTTAGTTCAGTCATCCTTAAGTGTAAGCAATTGATTTCTAAAGATACGAATGTTATTGCTGTTCCAGAGTAAATTGCCTTTACACAAAAGTTCAATACACTACTGTTTAAAATTAGAGGTTGGTAAGATTTTTTTTTTCACTTTGCTGAATTTTCAGCAACCATTACTCCAGGCTTCAGTGTCACATGATCCTTCAGAAATGCTGATTTTGTGCTTAAGCACAACTTTCTTCTTTTTTTTTCTTCAGGATTCTTAAATGAATAGAAAGTTAGATGTGAAATAGAAAAAATGTGTTATATTATAAATGTGTTTACTGTCACTTTTAATGAATTTAAGGTGGCTTTACTGAATGAAAATATTAATTTGTTTAAAAAAAAAAAAATCTTACTGAACCCCAAATTTTTTAATCGTAGTGTGTAATCTATCAAGTGGTTGTAACAATAATGAAATATAAATAAAAAGAAAATCTAAGGTACGAAGTAGTCTTAAAAGTTTTAAAAGCAATAAAAGGCTTTTGGCCTCATTCAGTACCATCAGTGTCTTTGTGCAGTCTATTCCATTGACCTTGTGTGTGGTAGGTATATGTTTACATTTCATCTTTGAAGCAGCCAAACTCTCAGACTTTCACCTCACCCTAATTTCTCAGTGTTAAGTATCAGAGAAGACATGTCTGTCCACACCATGCACACATACAATAAGCAAAGCCTTCGACAGGTTTAGATTTCATTGACGCTGTGAGCAAAAACTGTCTGTGTGGTGCACTTCATCATTCAGCTGGCCTCAATCCACCATCCTCTCTGCTGCTTTAAAGCTGTCACGACAACAAAATACGACACTGTCCCATTGGGCCAACCACTTCATCAAAATGAAGGCTTCAGCAAATAAGTGTCTTGTGGCTTTTCATGTGGGACAGTGTGATTTGGTGTTGAAACCTGTAGCTTTATAATCAACAATTTAATCTCAGAGATCATAGGTTTTTTTTATGTTTTACTGTCACTTCAGAATTATTAATTACATTGCTCCGTTCAGGTGGTAAAAATAAGTACAATGTACTTATTGTGTTCATATTGTATTGCAAAACACTTTTTGCTGCTATTGGGGTGGGATATGGGTAGGTTAGGTTAGGGACAGGTTTGGTGGTATGGGCAGGTTTAAAGGTGGGTTAAGGTGTAAAGGATGGGTCAACAGTGTAATTACAGAATTTAATTACAGATGTAATTACATACAGGTATTTTTTTAAATATAAGTACAATGTAAAAACATGTATGTACACAATACGTGCATTATATCAAATAATTCATTTAAATGTAAGTACAATTACAGGCCACCTAATATAAAGTGGGACAAAAAAACTCAATTATTACAGTAAGGCACCTACAATGGAGGCAATAAACATTAAAATACCGTTTTCTGATCATTCTAAACATTACACTATTTATACGGCATAACTCTCGCTAAGCATTGTTTGCATTGAGGCAAATTTCTGTCATGCATAACCAGATGTTTATTCATCTACAAAAGTAGGCAACTTCGTAGCTTCATAGAATAATAAACAGATTTGATGGAATAATTCGTCTTCACTAATTATTTTACTTCACACAAAAGTACTTCATATTTCTGCTTTTAAACAACCCAGAACACTGGCCCTGGCCCATTTTAAATTAAGAGTGTAACCAGTTTTTGCCTTTTTCCCCTATAAAAAAAATCTGATGGGCAAGTCAAAATAGTTTTCTGTGCTGTTAACATCATGTCAAAAATGCTGTCTTTTAGAGTGCTTTTTGAGCTTGGAACATTCTTTCAGAACAAAAGTATGAAATAAACACACTCACTGTTTGTGCAGCCAGCAAAATGTGTCGCATTCCTATTGTTTGACTATTTTATTTATTTAACACATCAGCGATAAACTGAGTTTCTTAAAAGTAATCCATCACATCCTGCTCTAGATGTCATCCATCATGTGCCAGGCTAGATAAAAACAATAAGATTCACCGTTACCCTTTAGCATAGTTATGCTGCATGATATTCCTGTCAGGTTTAACATTTACAATCACTGTCTAATTAAAATTAATGCCTTCTCTTTCTTCTCCTCTCTAACTGTCTACAGGCCTCCGGAGTTGGTGTACAAGTACGGGAACCTCAGCGAAGGAGCCTGCAAACCCGGCTATGCAGCTGCCAAAATGAGTGCTATCTATCCAAAGTATGAACAGATTTCTTTATTAACGTAAAATACACAGGGTTCAACAATAAGCCCCACTGCATTGCAAACTGGAACATTTTGGTTTTTCTAAGATACAGTAGGTAATGTTGAAATTATTAGAATAAACTTAATGATAGATGTTTTCTCTAACACAAAAAGGTCTAAAGGTAAAATAAATAATTTCTCAAAATGCTGAATGTTTTATCAGAAAACATATTCTTCTGATACTTGATTTGAGGTCTATTGCTGTTTAACATAAATTGGTTTAATGCTAGATAGGGCTGTATTTTGAGAAGTTATTTCATATTTAAAGGGAAGGATATTTGAAGATGACAGTTGGGATGGAAGTTTGTTTAGAAGAATACAAAGAGGCTTTGGCTGAATCTTGTGCCTTTTTTAAACCTGCTTTTGTCCTGCGAGTCTTTGCGATATTGAGCCAACAGAATGAAGTACAAGCTCTGTGAATTGACGACCGCTTTGTTAAAGATTTATTGCTTTAGCTCTGATTTACCAAGTTCCTCGTGTGTTCAACTCGCTCTGCTTTTGGCCCGCCACCATTCAAGAGACACTATGTCACTTCTCAGCTACGAAGCCCCTGAGGCCAGTCTCATAATATCTCTGACTGAACAGAAAGCTGCTCCTCTGATCCTTTAAGTCCTTGTTAATTTGTGACCTACCATAACAAACAACCACTTCCGCATGCTCGCCCGACTCCACAATGCGCCTGTTGTAACTCAATTTGAATGTGGACAGTGATTCTGTCTTTGCGGCTGAGAGGAGAAAGCCCTGTCAAGCAGCCACTGTGGAGGACCGAATGAGTCAACTTCTTCAGTTTGACTAAATCCTCAGAGAGCTCCGCGACCCTCAATGATGTCACACAGCACTCAGCGACCCTCGGTGACGTCACAGGCCTTTGATGGAGCTTTACATCTTTGCTGGCATCCGTGTTCCATTGTTCCCTCATCTTTAGGCTGGCTATTGTTAGCACAAGTAATTTTTCCACTACAGCATGCCCAGCGATGATAAACATTAAGCATCACGGTTTGGTTTGTTCATGGATATTTCTTTCATCGCCATATGATTGTTTAGAAATAGCTTTTCCACCAATCAAGAAAGATTATTTTGGAAAGGATTTGAGCAGCTATCACAAAACAGCAACTATCACACAATAGCAACAGCAATATTTAGTCCAAGTCAGATGGTTGCCCTGGATTGGTTTAAACAAAAACGGACTAAACAAAAATATTAATTTCATGAAATAACTTTTTAAAGAAGAGAGAATAAAGACGTTGTGACAACAACAGTGATGAGTTCATGTGGCAGAAGATGTCATTTTGGTGTGTCCTTATGTCTCTAGAGTCAGCACAAGCATTGAAAGACCCATAAAACAGAGCAATGACTGAATTGGTGCCTGAAACTTTTTAACAAGCCCCCAATTAACGGCATGCGTGTTAACAGTGTCTACAATATGCCTCTAATTAACACGTGTGATGGATCAAGCTTCTCAGGGTCTTTGTTTATCTTTTGGGGTCAAAAGGCGCTTCTGCCACATCATTACAACACAAATATTTAAGCGTTTTTCTTGTGTGATAAATTATTTATAATGATGTTTAGGATACATTGATTCAGTTTAGATATTTCCAGAATCCTGAACTAAATAACAGTTGAAACTTTTATGTCATTTTTGAATGTATAAAATGGAAGATAGGTATTGTACATGTTATAGGAAATTGAAAATTGCAGTCAGTAACTTTTTGAAATAAGTTTGTTTGTTTACATTAGATTCAATATACAGCATTTAATTGTTCATTAATTAATAATTATAGAATTATAAATATTCATTGATAATACAATATAATGTTAATTCATAAAACTTTTGTAAAACATGCAAGTGTATGTAGAAATTAACATGAGATTAATAAATGCTGAAAAAAAGATGTTGGTGCGTGATACCTGATGCATTAACTAATGTAAAACGAATTGAATGTTATTGTATAAAGAGGAAATGTTTTATTTAGCATTTAAGAAGACCGAATCGTGTCCTCATGTTTGGATAAAGAATTTTAAGACTCAAATTTAAGTGTCACATAATATAATTTTACTTTTATCCGTGCATTTTCACAGTAAATAATTTTGTTGAATAGACATTCTCAATTTTTTTTTTTGTTGTTGCATAAAGTAGGTCCTGTTAGTTAACACCTACTTGGCATGTTAAGTATGTGATCATTTGGGCAATCACTGGTCTCTCCCTTTAGGAGTTACATTTTATTGGGGGATCACTGCGTGTGTAGGAAACCACCTGAAGCCATGTGATCCCACCCTCTGTTAGTTCACCCCTGGAATCCACTTTATTTTCAACACCTCCACTCCTTTCCCAAAATTGTTTGTATTGGACTCTTAAATCAAATGTCTTGCTTGAACTTGAGCAGGCGGTTATGAAAATACTGCCCCCAGTGAGAGATAGCCATGAGGAAATTAGCACAATGTGCACAGGCCTCCTGTTCAGGACCCTTTATGACAAGCAGACGCCTATCTGTCTTTAGGCATGAAGCTCTCACCCAGTTATTTATAATGTGAGTTAGTCCGCACCCCACAAGTTAATTAATCCCAGTTTGTTTTGGCAAAGTCTTGCTTTGTCTGCCTTTTATCAGGTGATATAAGGAGAGGATCCGATGCAACGTTTTTTCCTTTCTTCTTGACGCTGTCGGACATCCCCTGGCCTTAAGCAATTAGCGCATGTAATAGACACACTTTTATCAGAGTCTGTTAAACCGTTGCCAAATGTGATCCCATTCATTTTCTAATCTTATTTCCTGTCGGGCATTAAATAATGGCGCAAATACCAGTAATTTGACGAGGGCAAATGTTAGTAAACCGCATTGCGTAATTCATTTTAATCCTCTCCTCTCATAAATGTTGGGTCTGAAAGGGAAACTCCTACAAATGCATATTCAATAAGGTCAGGCACAAAAAAAAAACTGTCCACGCCTTTCAGTGCTAATTCTTCACTGCGCGTCTTTAGTAAATCCTGACAGTAGGATTTTAACACCAAAAGACGGTTTACACTGGCTCAAGCTGTTAGTAAATCTGGCCCTTTGCCCCTTAACAACAAAATGTTGTCCAAATGCTTTCTTGTTTCCAGAAACAAATGAACCAGTTCTTTTAATGAATACTTCCAAGAAAAAAAAGGTTTGAATCAGCCTGTAGCACTTTTGAGGACTATACGGGATTGATTTTTTTTAATTATTTTTTTTAAGTCCTGCTTTCACAGTTTTCTGAAAAAATAAATAAATAAATGAAAATTCTTTCTTGTTTCCAGAAACAAATGAACCAGTTCTTTTAATGAATACTTCCAAGAAAAAAAAGGTTTGAATCAGCCTGTAGCACTTTTGAGGACTATACGGGATTGATTTTTTTTATTATTTTTTTTAAGTCCTGCTTTCACAGTTTTCTGAAAAAATAAATAAATAAATGAAAATGATTTCAACTTTTACACTTTGTCCTGTTCCCACCCCCAAAAGCATGCAGGTACTACATGGGTTTTTTTCCTCTCTTCTCTTCTTAGTCTCGCTTCAGTGTGTCAGAGTATCTCTACACACAGTGGGAATACTAAAAGAGTTGTTGTTTTTTTGTTGCTTAAAAAAAGTGTGGGCAATTTAGTCATGCTGGATGCGTCACATTTGCATAGACTATGCCATTTTAATTTACCATTGGTTGATTGCCAAATTAAAATGTCAGAGGGGACGATACAATTATTAAATGTGATTTAGTTTCCATTTTTTATGTTCCTGTTAATTCAGTTTATGTTTTTGTTCCTCGAACCAGTTCAGAGCCCTGGTTTGATAGACAATAATGCACTGGTACCAACAATTATTCTCATGATAAATTCCAATTGATTTAATCTGTTGGCATGCATGTTTCTTTATAGCTTTAGGATGCCAAACCCTTATTATGTTCAAGCATTGCACCACAGGTTCAGGAGTGACTTTGATATTGCAGTAGTGTGAGTGCAAACCTCTGTAGTGTGTACGTGGCCAGATGCATTGCACAGTATGGCAGACATTTATGTACTCCAGTGATGTGGGGGTTTATTCCATTCAACAGAGAACAAGAACTTCATTCTACTGAGCTTTGTGAATGTATCAAAGAGAATGAGACCTCTGGAAAAGACCTGTAGATAAGGCAACTTTTTCTTGAAACCAATTGGTTGTTAATGTAATCCACCGTTGTCTGCTTGAAGCATTTTTTCCCCTCCATCTGAAAAGATGATTACGTCTTAGATTTCAGCACATTGTCAAATGTTCCAGCACTTGAGGGCAGCGGGCACATAAGGGTACCTTGAATGTAACCTTTGTGTTCAGTTAAGGCCTGCCGTGTCCACACACATGAAGACTTTCAAAAGAGCAGGTCCCATGTTTACATTACACCTGGTTTTTGTTTGCTGCATGGATCGTGAGCCTAGCGTGACTTCACTTTTAACTTTATTCATTTGGAAAGGTTGATACGTGTGGATCTTGAATAGAGCTTGACAAAGGTTCTCAAGTTGTGGCCCAGAAAGGCATAAAAATAGATGTCTTATTTCTGCACTACCAATTCCAATATAAGCGATCCCTATGGCCACCTACGACTTTGTGATTTCTGCTCTTGATTACGTCGCCCTCAGTGGAAAACATCCAGTCAAAGCATTGCAGATGGTCTGTAGGGTAATCCCAACATCTTTTACAGACGGGAGAACCAAATACCTCAAAGGAGAATAAACCATTAGGGCTGCTTTGACTGTAAGTTTGGCCTTTTAAGTGCCTTACAGTATTAGCCTCTTAAATGTCTCCTGTGACTCAGGATGAAGTGTCACTCTCAGCTACTTTAGTGAAGTTCCTCTAATACTCGCGATGAATTATACTGAAATAGTTTGAGCGTGTTTGATCAGTTTTTAAACAACAACAACAAAAAAAAGCATTTTGACAAACATTACATGAAAGAAATGTCATTATGTGACTCAAACTCTCAGAAGTCACACTCCAGATGGTTTTGTGATACAGCCCCTAAAAGTATTTGCATCGTACCCGACCGTTTCTACTTTATTTCAGAGCATGATTTCCCCCTTGCCAGAACAGTGTACAGTATGTTAAAGATGATGGGCTTGTTTGTTTAAACTGCCAAGAGTGATACTTGGCTGAAATTATGCCGTTTATCTTAAAACAATTCAAACCTATTGCTCCTCCCTTTTCGTTTGTGAAACGGTGATCTATACAGGTGCATCTCAATAAATTAGAATGTTGTGGAAAAGTTCATTTAATTCAGTAATTCAACTCAAATTGTGAAACTTGTGTATTAAATAAATTCAATGCACACAGACAGAAGTAGTTTAAGTCTTTGGTTCTTTTAATTGTGATGATTTTGGCTCAACAAATTAGAATACTTCATAAGACCAATATATATATGTATATATATATGTATTTTTTTTATTTTTATTTTTCTCTCTCGTTTCTTATTCCAGTATGGTCCCGCCACTGTTTATGCAGGCCACGGTGATGCTTGATGTGAGCCGTCAGCGCTTTGTCCAAACAATGACGGCTACTCCCTGATGCTTTTTTTTTAATCATTAAGGTTACGGTTTAGGGTCAATACAAATTTTAAGCTCTTACGTTATCTTTTGCTCTACACCGACTGTTGTGTTTACGGAGGGCAAATCAATTTACAGAAGGTTCTCGCATGCGGTATATTGTTGAAATCACAACCATTCGCTTCAAACCACAATGACTACATCGGTACATCCTATTATGCTTGCCTCCCAATAACATAGCGTCTATGCCAATAAAAAAGATAATCTCACATGTGAGCTCTTTATTGTCAGAAACAGTAATGGCAGTCATTAGGGTAGATGCTTTCAAACCACCGGACGAGGGGAAAAAAAGAAAGAATTATGTACAGATGTAGATTTGGTACCTTACACATACTGCAAAGGGCCTAGCAGACCTCCCAAAGTGTTTCCCTCCGTGTTATGCCACCTTGACTTTTGTTCGTTGGATTATAGTTAGGGTCAAAAAGGTATAATGGGAAAATGGGCAAGGGTGTGCACATTTCACCTCATTGAATTAGCTCTTTTCCAAACTGTTTTCCTGTCTTTGGACTTTTATAGTATGCATACTGATGCTTTGAGGCAACTCAATGGGTCACGCTTATGCACCCTTACTAGGAAATCCGGTATCTTCACTGATATCAGGTGACATAATGTGTGGCAGCCATGAATGCCTGCGAGGGTATCAGAGGAATGATCGCTATGACCAAACAGCTCTGTGAATTTTCTGAAAGTCTCTGGCACAGGAATTTTATTTGTTTGCAAATGACATTCCACTTTTACAGACTGTTTTTTTTTAAAGTGTCAGTAACCTATTTTCATTTGCTAATACAACTTCCAGGAGTGAATAACACAATCATGCTTCATCAATCATCCACACTCCTGGTGGTCTGATGGAGAAGAAAATAATTTGATTTAGAGCAGAGCCATAACCATCTAGAGGTGTTTTTGTTTCATCCCTTTGTTCTTTCTTGTTATCTCTTTCTACAGAAAGAATCATAGATGTTATATTATCTGCCACAAAGAATTATGGACTGGGTCCAGATTTAGATAGGTAAGACTTTTGAAATGCATCACTACAAATTATTTTGCCTATAGGTCCGTGTCCAAGAGTTCTGCTCATTTTTATATACACTACTATCGTGCAAAAGTCTGGGGTTGTTACAATTATTTTTATTTATTAATTTGTTCATTTTTTGGACCGTGTCTTATGCTCATCAAGGCTAAATTTATTTGGTCAGAAATACTGTAACAACAGTAATAGTGTGAAATACACATACATTACGGGTTATATTACAATGTATTTTAATGTTAATGTTACTTATTCCTGTTATGGCAAAGCTGAATTTTCAGCATCCATTAATCAAGTCTTCAGTGTCACATAACCCTACAGAAATCATTCTAATATGCTAATTTGATTCTCAAGAATTTCTTATTTTAAATGAGAAATTTTACTGCTTCATATTTTTGTGGAAACTGTGATGGGAATTCCCCCCCAGGATTCTTTGATAAATAGAAAATTGACAAGAACAGCATTTATTGAAATAGCTAACCATGTAGGTAATTCAATTTACTTAATGCTGTGGCCTAACAATAAGATTGTTTCACATTTCAGATGAAGTGACGCGTCAGAAATTCATTTAGTAAAATTATTTCCAAAGTCTTTATGGTCCATTTTGATCAATTTGAAGCATATTTGCTTAAAAAAAAAACTGACCCCAAACTTTTGAGAAGCAGTGTATGTATATGTGTGTATAATTTAATGTGTATCAAGCATAAAACATTCTAAACATTCTGTTTGTCTCTGATTGCCATTGTTTGCATAATGCATGTATATAGTTATAATAACTTTTTGGCTGCAATATAACAAAGAGTGAAAAATTTAAGGGGGTCTGAATACTTTCCGTACCCACTGTATATACTGAATATGATTGTAAAGGATTAATACCACCTGTTTGCTCATATGTTCTCTTTGCAGTTTGAGTTGTAAAAGATGTATTATAGTAGGTAATGGCGGTATCCTTAGCAACAAGTCTTTAGGATCCCGCATCGATGATTATGACGTTGTGATAAGGTGAGTGTCCTCAAAGGCACCTTGTTCTGTTTTTTTAATGACCAAATCAATACATTGAACAAACAAAGGGACTTTAGACCAAAATGCAGCTGATTTGCACTGATTCTCGGTATATTTATTCTTTAGACTCAACGAGGCCCCAGTGAGTGGTTACACCAGGGATGTAGGTACTAAGACCACCCTGAGGATAACCTATCCTGAAGGGGCCATCCAGAAGACCGAGAGCTATGAGAAAGATTCCCTCTTTGTCTTCTCTGCTTTCAAACCTCTTGACTTTAAATGGTTGAGACAGATGGTCTTCAAAGAGAAACTGGTAAGACAAAATGCAGTAGTATGTGACTATACTGGCTTGTTTCTTTCATTAAAATCTGACTTTTTTTTTTATTTGTTCTGTTTTTAGTCTCTAATTTTGAAGCCAGTTGTTTTCATAGGCCCATTTCTAGTTCAGCCTGCTCCTGTGCTGAATTTTATAGAACTTTATACTTGAAATCATTCATGAATTTAGAGTAATGTTAATATTGCCCTCCAGCAAAATGTATTGTATTGGAATTTTTGTGGTTAAAGGGTTTTGATTAGGAATAGTTATTGAAGAAAAGACTTTTATTGTTCAAGGACTTTGTCTCGTTTTTAGCGAGTGGTAAAACATTCTCCTTCCAGGTTTGACTGACATCTAGTGAATTAGCCTCTTAATCAGAAGGGTCGGCCCGTCTGAATGAGCTCTCTCTTATCTCACACCGTTTTAATGACTCGGCCTCCATCCCATTTCTTATCACACAAAGAGCAAGCATAAGCACTCTGTTCTCCTCTGAAGTCGGTTGGCTCGGCTACTCAAGGACATGTTTTTTTTTTTCCCATTCGTCTGTCATGTAATCATGGTCAAGGCGTTTGGTCGGCATGTGTGGCTTCTCCCATAATCTCCCTTTTCCAGTATACTTGTCTTCCTCAGCTGCACACCTGTTTGTTCTCCCCCGTTGTCAAGTGGGAATCGGGTGGCAACATGCCTCAGGAGTTCCCGTCCAGCACAGCTGCTGAGTTTTCAGAGGACCAGTGCTGGATTTTTTACAGGGTGACATTTGTCAATGTGCAAGAGACTCGGCAGAGGAAGAAAAATAGAGCTATTTGATTACTCCCCTCCCCTCTGGCCCCTGAAAAGAGCCAGTTTTGTCTGAACATCTGATCGTAACAAGCTGGACAGTGGAAAGTGCTCAGATAATTGATCTGCCCTCTGGCTTCTGATACATTGGCTTTGATCTCATGGAAGGAAGAATTTCCTTCACCAAATCAGGGGTCAAGAAAGCTCCAATGTGTCTGCCATAATGTTAGAAACCACGTTCAGAGGATGATGGCTGATGAAAACTGCATGCAGTATTAGGTAACAAAATAGCTTTTTTGAATTAGAAAGCGGAAAATTAAACATTAATGCTATACTGGAATCTAATATGTTGGTTCTTGGTTGTAAAAATGGTTGTAAATGGGCAATGTTTAGACAGCCAAGTTAATGCAGGAATATTCCGGATACTTGACATAGCTTCCATTGGTCATATAATTTTTTGGTATGTAACACATCTCTCACTGTTTACGTTTACTTTCACACCATAAATATGTTAGTGCCACGTTTATTTTCACACCATAAATATGTTAGTGCCACGTTTACATCACAGTGTTAGTGGCATATTCTTAACTCACACACATATACACACTGCTGCTCAAAATTTTGGGATCAGTAGAATTTTTATTGTTTTTTTTTTTAAAGAAGTTTCGTCTGCTCATTAAGGCTGCATTTATTTGATCAAAAATACAGAAAAAAACTGTAATATTGTGAAATATTATTGCAATTTAAAATGACGGTTTTCTTTGAAATATAATTTATTCCTGTGATGCAAAGCTGAATTTTCAGTATCATTACTCCAGTCTTCAGTGTCACACATGATGCTTCAGAAATCATTCTAACATGCTAATTCATAATCAATGATGGAAGCAGTTATGCTGCTTAATTCTTCTTAAGACTTCTATTGTTACAAAAGATTTATATTTTAAATAAATGCTGTTCTTTTTAACATTTTACTCCTCAAAAAATCCTGACAAAAGTGTCACAGGTTCCAAAAAATTAAGCAGCACAACTGTTTCAATCATTGATTATGAATTAGCATGTAAGAATGATTATTGAAAGGATCATGTGTGACCAGTGTTGGGCAGTATTACTTAGTAAATTACTTAGTAACGCGTTACTGTAATTTGATTACTTTTTTAGTAACGGAGTAATTTAACGCGTTATAATATTCAAAATAGTAATTAGAGTATAGTTACTAGCCGAAGTCTCTATACGTTACTGCCGCATTACATTGCTGACAGAATGCAGTGTTTTATCATCTAGATTGTAAAAAGGATGTAGCACATGCACTGTCGAGTCAAGTGCCAGTGGATTAGAGACCTGCTCCCGTGAGACCCGATGCAGCTTAGTGCGGCACGGGACAAGATGGGCGAGTGCTGGTGCGGGCAAGTAGACACTCGTGTGTGTGTGCGGGGTGCGGGAGAATAAAATGATTCACGGGACTCCCGCAAAATAGAAATATCTAAACATAAAATATCTAAAACAAATAAATTGTTATTCATCTATTGCACAAAAGCTACATGAACTAATATAAAATATAAACGATTAACAGGTGCAAGCATATGCAGAGTTTCTATTTAGGCTATAACATGTGTTTGCAGGGTTGAGCAATGCAGTGCTGAAATTTGCGTGCTCATGAATCCTCTCATTATAACACACGAATTGTAGACATTATGAAAGATTCATTATGCATATATTTATTGTGTTATAACAGAGATTTGTGAGATTGCGATGAACTGAGATGCCTTTTAGAGATTATAAATGCAGCGCTCTTTGCTGGCATTCTGCCATGCCAAACCATGCACGCAGCAGCTGCTTGCTTTAGTTAAAAATAACCGTATTCTGTGAATGTTGATGCTTTAATAACAAATATTTATCGGGAGCGTGTATGCTGGGATTTAATCAATTTAATGGAGAAAAAAAGTAACGTAACTAGTAATGTAACGAATTACTTTTTGAAATAAAGTAATCAGAACAGTAACGTAATTACTTTTAAAAGGAGTAATCAGTAATTTGATTACATAACTTGCCCAACATTGTGTGTGACACTGAAAACTGGAATAATGATACTGAAATTCTGCTTTTATCACAGAAATAAATTATATTTGAAAGTACATTCACATAGAAAACAGTTATTTTAAATTGTAAAAATTTCACAATATTACTGTTTTTTAAAATAAACAAATAAATGCAGCCTTGATGAGCAGAAGAGACTTCTTTAAAAACATTCAAAATCTTTCTGATCCCAAACTTTTGAGCGACAGTATATCTACATATACATACATATATATGTGTGCGTGTATGCATCTCTTACAGCTTTTCCTCCACACGTCTTTCCATTAGTTCTCCCACACACGTGTACTCTTCAAAATCCTGTAACAACGCTGCTTATGTGTTTATTTGACCACAGTTTGCATTCTCCACCAGACACCCATGTGTGTTGAACTACTTTCTCTCTTTTTTAGGATAACACCATTTACGTTTACATAATGTATCAGGAATGTTTCTGCATTTACATGAACTGTCAAAACTTAAGTCACTGTTCGCTACAGAACTGAAAAGCTACATTCACACTGTGCTTTGTGTTTCTGGAACATAGGAGTGAAATTGCTGGAGAGCATTTTGTGTGAATCCAAGCTGGAATGCTGGAAGATTTGATCCTTGTATCAGGACCTAGTAATGATTAATCATAGAATTTTCCGAATTTGTCCAGATTTTTTCTCTCTGGAATCTCTGTATGTGGCTTATTATACCTCGCTAAATCATGTGGCTTTTTGTAGAAAGAGCAATCACACTGATACGTTTTTTGCCTGATGGACTATAAAAAAAGGCAAAAAAAAAGAAAAAAACGTAGTTTTACGATGAAGAAAGGACTCGAGCCATATCTAGGAACTGAATATCAGAGACCACCCAGAATACCTTAGCGACCACATTGCAATTCACATAAACCACTAAGAACACCGTAGCAACCGCATAAAAACCCCTGGCAGCGATTTTTGTTCAGACAAGCAGCTCTCAGATTTTCTTCAGAAAATGTAAAAATGCAGTTCCTGATTGTTTTTCTTCCTCCGGCAGACAGCCACAGCTGTAAAATATGTTTATATCTAGCTAGTCTATGTGACCTCCCGTGTATGTATTAAGTTGTAAGAGTATCATGTTTAAAGTGGCCTTTAACCGATTGTCACTTGACAAATGAAGCCTATCACTATTGTGAATTCTTACGGATGAAAAACGACTGACTTCTATTCTTCTCTCTTGATCAACGTCAGGCTCCAAGAGCCCCTCGCATTCCCTCGCTCCCTTCTCAAACAGTTTAACTTTGGCTTTGTTTATTTTTAACTGGCAAGTCAAAGGGATGGTATTTTAAGGCCCGATGAAAATCTGACTAAGCGTTTATCTAGTTTGCGCGCTCTATACGTACCACAGATGTTTCTTTGAGTAATTTGAGTAATCTCTAAACAATAACAGGCATTCATCGCCATGCTTAATCACACATAATCTTATCAAACACTGTGTCCCTAACAATAGTATACAGTTCATCTCATGTTTGAAAACATATACATTCCCTGTGGTCCGCTTCCAAGTCTTATTTAGATCTTGCGACATATCTTTGAAAATATCATTGATGCGATGAAAATTCTGTTGAGTGACTTGTGGTGAAGTTGCTGCTGCTTTGCCAAAATATAAATGCTTCCCTTTAATGGCAGAAACCTGGTGGCGAAATGGAAAATGCTTTGTTTTTGCAAGCGGTGACAGCAATTGAGATCCATTGTGTGGTGACGTCTTTCATTTGGAGATGAACGCATAAAAGAATGTGCGACTGTGTGGGCAATTGGCTTTAGAAAGGCACGTAGCTTTAGACTTCAATGTAATCCTCAACTAGCACTGACTCCTCACTCTCTTCATCTCAAACAGTCACACTGATGTAACTTTGAACAGGGGCTGCTTGCTGCTTTGAAGTATTTTTCTCTCTGCTGCTCTTTTGTATGCTGTGAACGCTCATGGGTGGAAGGAATGCCAGCCTTTTCAGTTTGTATTGACCGAACAGTAGACGGATGCATTCCCAGCATTGAAAAACCTTTGCGAAGTCCACCTGAATATCCAGCCATGAGGCTTGAGCCAAGTGCTCTTAACAGATACACATTGGAAATCAACCAAATGTCAGTCAAATTATTACATTTTGATGTAATTATTACTTTTTT